GCAGGAAGAGGCAAGAAAGAACAAATGAAAACAGGGAACCCAGGAAGTGGGAAGAGTGTTGGTATATTGAGGAGATTGTAACCAATGGCACACACACACACACACACACACAAATGTGTATGAATTGTTGAATGGAAAATTAATTTGCTAAACTTTTACCCAAAGTACAATAAAAAATATGTAAGTAAAACCTTATGAATAGCAGTAGAACACTATCAGATAGCTCTAGAAATATTGAATATTGAAATATTATGACCAGAGCCAGAAAGTTGTTACAGTTCTAGAAGATGAGCCCTTTAGGTAGGAAGACACTTAAAATACAAGAGAGAAGAACTGCCTCCTAAATGCACAGTTGACAAGAATGTAGTAAAGCATTCAGGATTTTTATTTGCTGATGGGGCACAACTCAAAATGAGGAGAAACACCTGCAAAATTCCATTAGTAATCAGAACATGGAATGTACAAAATATAAATCTAGGAAAATTGGAATTTGTCAAAAATGAAATGAAACGCATGAAGATCAATATCCTAAACATTAGTGAGCTGAAATGAACTGGTATTGGCCATTTTGAATCTGATGATCATATGGTTTACTATGTTGAGAATGATAAAGAGGAATGGCATTATATTCATCATCAAAAAGAACATTTCAAGATTTATCTTAAAGTACAATGCTGTTTGTGATAGGATAATATCCACATACCTACAAGGAAGACCAGTTAATACCATTATTATTCAAATTTATGTACCAACCACTAAAGCTGGTGATGATGAAATTGAAGAATTCTACCAACTTCTTCAGTGTGAAATTGATCAAACATGCAATTGAGATATATGATAATTACTGGTGATTGGAATGCACAGGTTGGAAACAAAGAGAAAGGAAGAGTAGTTGGAAAACATGGTTTGGTGATAGAAATGATGCTGGACATCGCATGATAGAATTTTGCAAAATTTTATTTTTTAAACCACAGAGAGATGGCTATATACACGGGCCTCACAAGATTGAATACAGAGAAATCAAATAGAGTGAATATATAAAAATCAAATGGAAAGATATGGTAAAAAAGTTCCAGATGGTAAGTCACAACAAAGTCAGGAGCAGACTGTGGAACAGACCATTAGTTGTTCATATAAATTCAGGCTGAAGCTGAAGGAAATTAAAAGAAGCCCATGAGAGCCAAAATATGACCTTGAGTACATCCCACCTGAATTTAGAAATCATCTCAGGAAAAAATTTGATGCATTAGACACTATGACTGAAAACTAGGAGAGTTGTGGAATGATATCAAGAACATCATACAGAAAAAAAGCCACAGGTTATTAAGAAGACAAGAAGGAAGGAAAAGACCAAAATGGATATCAGAAGAGATTCTGAAACTTGTTCTCCAGCATAGAGATGCTAACAATGGAAAAAATGAGGAGGTAGAAGAACTTAACAGAATTTCAAAGAGCATCTTGAGAGGATATGTCAAATGTTATAAAGACAATGTCAAATGTTATGTGCAAAGATCTGGAGTTAGAAAACCAAAAGTAAAGAACATGTTCAGCATTTCTGAAGTTGAAAGAACTGAGGAAAAATGCAATCCTCAACTTGCAATATTGAAGGATTCTATGGAACTACCAGCTGTTCCGTGGGAGAAAGATGAGGCTTTCTGCTCCCGTAAAGATTTACAGCCTCAGAAACCCTGTACAGGGTTGCTATGAGTCAGAAC